CTAAGTTACCCAGAACCAGGGCACTGAGGCAAATGTGCATCTGCTGCTACAGCTCCTCAAGTGTCGGAATGTTTGCAAATCCCTTAAACCAGGGTGTGGTTCACAAGTGATACAGCTTTCCTGCCTGAGGCACTGAGTGCTTGAGTTTGGCTTGTGACCCTGGGGAACTCTGTCTGGGCTGATTTTCTCCCTCCAGGCCAGGATCTCCCAGCAGAACTCAGCCTGTATTTGGGAACACTGGGTACTATGGCTGATGGGAAGGATGACAGGGTTTGGGGACTGAGAGACAGCCAGAAAAAGGACAGTATCTTTCTTTTCCACTCTGCTCTCTCAAACAGAGGGCACACTTATGTGCCACATCAGATCCCACCAGTAGAGGCTGTGCTGTTGGAGAAAGGAGGCTACCGGGCAGCTCTGCACCTCTAGCAGAGACATGGCTTTTCACCGAAGAAAGCTCAGGTTCTGTTGCCCTTGGAAGCCAGCAAAAATCATGAGCTCCAGTGTGAAAGAAAACAAGCTTTCTGGGCATTGTTGGGGGTAGGGGATTTGAGCTAGGGTCCCACTACATAGCCCAGACTGGTCTAAACATGTAATCCTCCTGCCTCTACTTCCCAAGTGGCTGGGATTATAGGAATATGCTGGCTTCATTAAAAAACAAAACAAAAACCACTAAATATAGATCCAAGGCATGGTAATGCAAGGGTTAAACAGTACAGCAACCCCCGTGACAACTTGGGACTCCTAACAGCCGCATTCCACTCTGCAAAGTCTCAGCAAGGCTTCTATTCCCATATAGCACAGGAGAGTCATTATTATAGGAAAGTCTATTGTGTGGATGCCATTCTGGGATGATGGCTGCACCATGCTATTCTAACCTTAGAACAAGGCTGCTCAGCCTCAGAGCAGGCTGGCCCCGGAGCAGGCTGGCCTCAGAGCAGGCTAGCCTCAGAGCAAGGTCACAGCTGCCTCCAAGTAGGACCATTATCTAGTCAGAGAGTTACGCTATTATGAAAAACTCCACAGGTTTAAACAGACTCAGGCATCTGGAGGCAGATCCTCAGCAACTCAAGACGTCTTACACAGATAACCAGTCCCCAAAAGAAACAAGCCCACACAGCTGTCCCATACGATAAGACCTAAAGGACCAGGGCACCATGACACTGAAACACTGCCTGCTGTTCAGAAGCGCCTCTACAGTCCCCGCTGTCTTGCCTGTTGCATGGCAAAAGATCTAATAAACTCTGCTTCTGCTTTTCTCCCACCTGGTAAATTCGTTCCCAGATCATGTGTCACTGGCCTACCATGCTGTCCTGGTGCGGCATGTTGTAGTGGGTCTTAATAAATCTCTTCCCTTTCTGTAAGAAGTGGCACCTAGGTGGCCAGGCATGTAGCTCAGTAGGTAGAGTGCCTGCATGGCAATCATGATAACCTGGGTTCAGTCCCCTGTACTGCAGAAAACGGGGTGCTTGTGCATGCCTGTAATCCCAGCATTCCGAAGGTGGAGACAGGAGGATCAGGGGTTCAAGGCTACATAAGTTCCAAGCTAACACTCCCCCACCCCTGCCTTCAACAACAAACAAAATAAAACCAAATGGCAAAAAGGTGGACCTGGTGATACAGGCTTGTAATCCAGCTACTTGGGAAGCTAAAATGGGAGGACTGTGAATTTAAGGCCATCCTGGACTTCAGAATGAGTTCAAGGCCAATCCAGGTAACTTAATGAAACTCTGCCTCAAAATAAAAAGGGATAGGGGCTGGAGAGAGGGCTCAGTAGTTAAGAGGACTGGCTATTCTTGCAGAGGACTCGGGTTTGAATCCCAACACCCACATGGTGCCTCACAACCATCTGTAACTCTAGTTCCAGGGGATTTGAAAGCCCTCTTCTGACCTCCATGGGCACTGCATGACATGGATGAACTTACATACATGCAGACATAATGCTCATGTACATAAAATAAAAAATAATAAATAGCCGGGTGTGGTGGTGCATGCCTGTAGTCCCAGCACTTGGGAGGCAGAGGCAGGCGGATCTCTGTGAGTTCAAGGCTAGCCTGGTCTACATAGTGAGTTCCAGGCCAACTAGGGCTACAGGGACACCCTGTCTCCAAAAAAAAAACATCAAGTCTGTTGGCGACTTTTTCAAGGTCTGCATTCGAAGTGCATCTGTATCTAGAGCCTTCAAACAAAGGGATGTGGTCATAAACCATCTTTCTCTGTTCTTTGGAAGGCTGAAGGCTAGGCTGGGCATGGTGGCACATGTCTTTAATCCCAGTACTTGGGAGTCAAAGGCAGAGACAGAAGAATCTTTTGAGTTCAAGGCTACATAAGACTACAGAGTGAGACTCTGTAGCTTAGTGGGAAAATGCTCACTTAGTATTCTGCTTTGAGTTGGATCTCTAGCATCACAATAAAATAAAAACAGCAGTGAGACTTGATGGCTCACCTGTCATCCCAGCACTCAGAACCTGTGACAGGAGGACTGCCATGAGTTAGAAGTCACTGTAGGCTACTGCAAGAAAAATGAATGCTAACCTCTACATTCCTTTCACTGAGGATTTAGCATCTTGTCTCACTGGGGACAGCCTGTGGTAGTGCAAAGCACACTCATTTAAAAAGCAGGTCTTGGGGCTGGAGAGATGGCTCAGTGGTCAAGAGTACTTGGCTGCTCTTAGAGAAGACCTGGGTTTAGTACCCAGCACCCACATGGAGGCTAATAACCACCTGTAACTGCAGTTGCAAGGGATTTGATGCTCTTTTCTGGCCTCTGAGGGCACTGCATGCATGTGTTGTACATATATACATGTAGGCAAAACATTCATACACATAAAATATAAAAATCTTTGGGCTGGAGAGATGGCTTAGCGGTAAAGAACACTGGTTGTTGCAGAAGACCTGGGTTCAAATCCCAGCACCCATACGGCAGTTAACAACTGTCCATAACTCCAGTTCCAGGGGATCCGACAGCTTCTTCTGTCCTCCGAGGGCACTGCACGACAAGGGTGCACTTACCTAAACGCAGGCATAACACTCATACACACTAAAACAAGAAAGAATAAAACCTTTAAGAAAGGTCTCTTTTTGAGTGTCTGATTTCAGCAGTGGGATTCTGGATATGTCCTTTTAACTGTTTAAGGTTCATACAGCTATGCATATTGGCCACATCATTTAAGATTCCCATGAGTTAAAGGGTTCACTGACTTCTCTACTTTCTTGGGTGTGTGTATGTCTATTAATAATAGCCAGTCTAGCAGGTAGAAAGCAGCATCTCATTATGGACTTGCATTCTTCTGATTACAGATGTTGATTCCTTATGTCCCTTTGTGAGTTTTCCTTGGAGCAATGTGCCTTTGCACATTTTAAATCAGGTAACTGAAATGCTGTAAGTCCCAGGAGTCTGTGATGTATTTTGAATATTACCTCTGTGTCAGACATGCTGTATTGGAGCAGGCTTTCACCACCAGTGCTTTGGGGTCAACCCCTTAACAGACATCACTGTCAAGACCACTGTCCAGTGGCTATTCCCTGTGTTTTCTTCTAGGCTTAAAATGTCAAGTCTTATGTGTGATTTTTTTTTTTTTTCAGTCTTTTTGAGACAGGGTCTCCCTGTAGCCCCAGCTGTCCTGGAACTCACTATGTAGACCAGGCTGGCCTTGATCTCAGAGAGATCCACCTGCCTCTGCCTCCTGAGTGCTGGAATTAAAGGTGTGCCCCACCACCCCCGGCTTATGTGTGATTTTTAATCCACAAGTAAACAGCCAAAATAACACGGCCACAGCCTCCCAGTCACAGCTGCATTACTCCCAGTGGCTGAGACCCAAAGCCACTCACATGACTGAACAGATGCAAAAGAAAACATGGCATACTCAGGCAGTGGAACAGTATTTGAACCTTTTTTGGGGAGACAGAGTCTCATGCAGCCCTGGCTGACCTAAAACTTGCTATGTAGACCAGGCTGGCCTCAAACTCATGGAGATCTGCCTGCCTCTGTATCCTGAGTGCTAGGGTTAAAGGCACTACCACACTGGCTAATTAACCTTAAAAAAAGGTTGTTGCCATTTGCAACAATACAGATGAATCTGGAAGATGTCACACTAAGTGAAACAATCCACTGTCACTAGCTATGGGACCTTGGGTAGGTGGCTCACTCCTTCCCATCCACTCCCTGGAGTCTTTTTCACATTGGGGACCTTGCTGGGGGCAGGTCCAGGGTAGACTGTGGCCACCAGAAGGACAAGGAGTTCCAGGTCGGCAGCATTTATGATGCATTATGAAGCCACCACACCTGAACTGTGATCCCTGACAGCAAGGTGACAAGGGCAGCACAGGGAGAGAAGTGGAGGGGCACAGACTGAGACACGAGCCCAAGCACAGGCAGTTGGGGCTGAGGCCCCTCTTGAGCCCTTGATGGTGGCAGCAGGATCCTCCTGTCAGGGGGTCCTCACTCTGCTGCCACAGTGGCTCTGGGGAAAGTGCTTCTATGTACCCCTCTGTCTGGTGCTGGCCTTTGCTGCTGGGCCCTGCTCTGTCCCCAGCTCAGATCTCATTCATACTGGTCTTGGGATTTTTGATACCATTCTCATCCAACAGCTCCCAGCATGCCCCATGTGTGATGTCCCCCAACCCCCAACTGTCACTGATCAATCCTGAGTTTCAGATTCAGAAAATTCATCTTCCCATATTTGTGACTCCTAATGTGCAATTTAAAATGAACATGGAGGTGGGATACATGGGAGTACAACAGGATAAGGTGACAGAAGGACAGGGTCTGAAATACAGAAGGTTTGACAAACAGGCATTCTAGGAGGTAAGAGAAATGGGCAACAGTTAATGCAAAAGGATCAAGGGCAATGCCTCTGAGCTCAGAGGGAAGAAGGCTGGAAGCCATTCCTCAGTCTGAGCTAGGCCAGCCACTAGGGCGTGTGTGATGGAAAAAAGCCTCCTGTCGCTTTTTCCCCTCAAGCCCAAACTGAACAAACTGCACAAAAGACTTTCCTACTCACCGGCATGGTTTTATCTCCAAAGAAATAAATGATCTTGTAACCATCATGTTCCACATGTTTCAAGCAATACCGTTTGTCCCATCCGTCAGGAAAGACGTCAAAGCTGATCTGGCCACCTGCCCAGTTGGGAAGGAGACACACAACTGTCAAAGGGTTGGGGGTGCAGCACAGTGGTAAGCATGCCTGGGGCTTGTCTAGCATGCCTGGGGCTCTGGGTTCTAGCCCTAACACTGCCTGAGGTGGGAGGGGAGGGGCCAAACCTTTTGGAAAATTTTTTTTTTTAAAAATCGGAATACCCTAGTCCACCACTTAATGCTGCTTCATGGCTAGGTTCTACACAACAGCTCTATAGCCTGGTTTCCTAGCATTATCTCATGCAGGTCTAAAAGCGAATTCATCTGCACTTAATGCGTCTTCAAGGAAGTAATTAAATGGTTTATATGGAGCCAGCTTATAGAAAACTCCAGCAAGGGTGTCTTTCACCCCGTTGGGCTTGTTTGGCACTGTCACATACCCTCAGAGTTGGGTGTGGTGGTTCAGGCCTGTCAACCCAACATTCAGGAAGTAGAAGCAGGAGGATTATGAGTTCCATTCAGGTCAGTCTAGACTGCTTGGTGAGTTCCAGGCCAGCCTGGGCTACAGAGTGAGACTCTCTTTCAAAAAATCAAACCAAACCGAGCCACTATTTAGTTGAAAATGCCAGAAGTAGGTTGCATGGTCCTGTTTTGCGGACAATTAAGTCCATTGCATTAAAGATAACTGACAGGCACCTTCCTTAACAGCAAAAAACACTTTCAAAGTTACCAGAAAGGCTTTTGTCTCACAGTTCAGGAATATTTTTTGTCTGTTTTTGAGACAGGGTCTCCCTATATAGCAGTGGCTGGCCTGTGAACTTGCTATGTAGACCAGGCTGGCCTTGAACCCAACGAGACTCACTTGCCTCTTCCTCCCAAGTGCTGGGATTATAGTTGTGTGCCATCACACCCAGGCTAGTTCAGGAATACTTAAAAATCTGCCTGGTCATATATTATACATTATTCCTCTGTAAGGCCAGTTTTCCTATAACTTGTTCATGTATTAAAGCTATTGAAGCCAGAGGCCTTTAAGTAAAGACTGATAACATTAACAAGAGAAATGAGCTTGTTCTAAGTATTTAACAGGTTGGGGCCAGTGAGATGGCTCATCGGGTAAAGGTACTTGCTGCCAAGTCTGATGACCTGAGTTTGATCTCCAGGACCTATATGGTGGAGAACAGACTCCCACAGGTTGTTCTCTGACCTCCACACATACACCATGGCATGTGTGCGCCCACACAAAATAAAACTGTAGTAATACTAAAAATTTAACAGATATAGTCTATCAAGGTAATGAGACAGAGAATAGGCTGCAGGCAGAGCCCTGCATCGAAGATGCTACACACTGGTTCAATGGCTGTCAACACACGCTTTGTGAACCTGGACAACTGTCTTCTTCTTTCTGAGCTTCATTCAGTTTCTTGCTCTATAAAAGCCACTGACTCTTATGACTCCTTGCTGATGACACACTGACTGCAGGATTCTAAGACACTTTAAGCCTCTTTCATCTGGGGCTCCAGTCCACCTCTCCTCTGGAGGTTACCAAGGCTTCTCTTATACACAAGGGTATGAAGATACACTTTTACTGTTCACACAGCAAGAAGCAACTCTTCAGAGTGAGAGAGAAGTGCAGGCTGGAAAACGCCTGCTGGGTATGGAAGCAGAACCAGACCCAACAGCATGAAAGCCACTTCCTGGCTGGGGATTTTCTGTGTGGCTGGGTGTCTACCGTCTACAGGCCACTGTGTGACAGGAGTGGAAAGTAAAAATGCTATATAAAGATTCACGTATGATGGGCTTAAGAGATGGGATGGCTCAGAGGTTGAGAGCACTGGCTGCTCTTGCAAAGGACCTGGGTTTAGTTCCCAGCATCGACATGGCAGCTAGCAATCACCCACAACTCCAGTTCCAGGGGACCTGATGCCCTCTTCTGGCATCTGTGGGCATTGGATGCACATGGTGCCCCTATATACATGTAGACAATATACTCATACACATAAAATTAAAAACAAAAAGAAAAGATTCCTGTGTGAAAGAAACCGGTTTTCAGAGGAAGACTGGAAGGCTGTTCTTATCCTGGCCTCATCTAAGGAACAGAGCATACACAAACACAAACAGGAGTGGGCTATAAATGATCCTACACTGCATAGTGGGACTCTTTCCTAAACTCATTAGCCCACTTACATTCTTGGAAGTGCTTTTCCCCTTTTGCTGTCTCTGTTTCTATTCCATTCCTAACTTAAAAGGCATGGCTTCTTCTAACATCTCCCCTGGTGGCTACTGGGATTTTCATTTAAGCTGTACTGTTTTTCCTCTCCTAAACTCTATAATCAAATTGTCCTTAAGTTTCCTTGAGTCTGTTTATGAATTCTTTTATGAGACTAAGAACCCCAAAAGATAACTTCAGTTTCCCTAATAACATCTTTCTGCCCACCACAGCCCTGAACATGTTAGCCACCTACCACAAGCTCCAGGCACATGGCACCAAAGCCTGGGAGGTGTTCCCGGGCACCGTACCTATGGAGAACGTGAGGCCTTTCCCTGCGAATTCCTTCCTCAGGTCCGCTATGAATTTTTCTCTTATATTTTCTTTCTGAGAAACAAAGATAACAAATTTTCTGTTGCAGCACTTTAAATACTGGCCAGGGGTTGAGCAGCTTGGCTTGTTCTCACGAACCAGGCCATCTCCCAAGGACATGAGGACTCACTTTATCGAGCTCGTAGAACTCAATTCGTTCTTCTTGGCTGCAGCTTCTTCCGACAGGGGACACGTTCAACATGCCATTTCGGAATTCAATGAAAGTGCCCCTGGGGAGGAAAAGGGGACAGAGGTTCCCCCAAATTCCTTATTTTCTTGGGAAACATTATAGGAGGATAAATAGCTAAGTTGGATATTTAAGACAATGGGTACGACACAATTCTCAGAGCTGTGCTATGCACCACGGTACCCTGGAACCACAAGAGACCAAAGTCTTGAAATGTGGCCAATCCAGACTGAGCTGGCTACAGACTTGGAATAGAATCATCATTCATAAGCTTTTTTTTGTATGCATGTATGATTATGTGCCTATGTATATATGTGTGGGTGCATGCACATGTGTGTGTAGGCCAGAGGTCAACAATGGGTTTCTTCTTCAATTGCTCTCCATCTTATTTGTTTTTTAATTAATTAATTAATTTTTTTCTCTTTTTGAGACAGGGTCTCCCTGTAGCCCCAGCTATTGTGGATTCACTATGGAGACAAGGCTGGCCTCAAACTCACAGAGATTCACCTGCCTCTGTCTCCTGAGTGCTGGGATTAAAGGCGTGAGCCACCATGCCTGGCAACATTTTTATTTTATGTGTATGAGTGAGTATATTGCCTGCATGTATGTAAGTACACCAATGACATGCAATGCCCACAGAAATCAGAAGAGGCATCAGATTCCCCTGGAACTGGAGTTTCAAATGGTTGTTAGTTGCCATGTGCTGGAAATTGAACCCTGGTCTTCTGCAAGAGCAGATGGTGCCCTTAACCACTGAGCCATCTTGCTAGCCCCTCCACCTTATTTTTTGATATTAATCTTTTTTTTGAGACCAAGCCTCACCATGCATCCCTGGCTAGCATCAAACTCACTAAGTAGACCAGGTTGGCCTTGACTCACTGGGATTCACCTGCCTCTACCTCCTGAGTCCTGGGATTAAAGGCATGGTCTTCATCTTATTTTTTTGAGATAGGGTCTCTCACTGAACCTAGAGTTCACCATTTAATCTAGACTGGCTGAGCATCAGGGATCTACCTGTTTCTGCCTCCCCAGCACTGGGGTTACAACCATGCACCAGCTCCAGGTTTTCTCATGGGTGCTGGGGACCAAAGTCATAGCAAACATGTTACTCACTGAGCCATCTCTAGCCCCCCCCTTTTTTTTTGAAGAAAGAAAATATAAACTTATAAAGGAAAACTAAGAAAAAAACTCCCAAGAGTGGCTCCAAAGAGTACCCTTTCTCCCTTTTTGAGACAGGGATTCATGTAGCCCAAGCTGCTCTCAAATTCATCAAGTAGCTGATAATTGAACTCCTGGTGCTCCAGCCTCCATCAAGTGCTGGTACTGATTATAGCTTAGGCATCATGCCTAACTAATCAAGTTTCATGTTGACTCTGCTAAAATGATGTTCTGGACAAGGTATATTACTAAACAAGGTATATTACTAAAATAAAAAAGTTGCTTTCAGCCAGGCTTGGTGTGCATGCTTTTAATCCCAGCACTCAGGAGGCAGAGGCAGGTGCTTCTGAGTTAGAGACCAGTGAAGTCTGTATGGTAAATTGCAGGCTAGCCAGGGCTATATGATGAGACCCTGCCTCAAAAAAAAAAAAAATTGCTTTTAGCCAGGTGTGGTAGTGTATGCCTTTATTTTATTCCCAGCATTAGGAGGCAGAGGCAGGTGGATCTCTGTGAGTATAGCAAGTTCCAGGCCAGCCAGGACTATACAGTGAGTCTGGGAAGGGATCCACCGTACAAGAGTACTTATTCCCTGTGGAGTCTCAGACCTGTTTCCTAGACACCTGATTTGCTAGTGAGCTTGTGAATGACTGACATTAAGCAGAGTGACACAGAAGGGTTCTGAGAATGTGGTCTATGGAGCCTTAGTAATGACTTAGAGGAAACTCAATTTATCCACTTGTGGCAGACTGCTCCTAAAGGCTTGAGGCCATCAGGGAAAATGGAACAGCACAGCATTGTTTCAGGCATTCCAAGAAAGATGGCTAGAAACAATTTTTTCTACATTTCCAGTTTAAGTCTCAGAATAGGTTATTAATTTTTTTTTTTTAATTTATGTGTGTGGAGGGGTAGGGCATGTGCAACAGTACCTGTGTAAAGATCAGAGGACAACTTGTAGGTCCAGGGCACGGAGGCCAGAAGATGACCTTGGATGTCCTGCTTTATCACTCTTCACCTTATTCCCTTGAGATGGTTCTCACTGAACCTGGAGCTAGATTGGTGGCCAGCAGACCCCAGTAATCCTCTTGTCTGTGCCCTCACCAGTGTTCAGATTACAGGTGTCCATGTGATCAAGCCTATCTTTTTATGTGGACTCTGAGGATTTGAACTTGGGTCTTCAGGCTGGTGCAGCTGAGTCCATCCCCCAGCCCCTGTTAACATGTGTTTTCTTTAAACACTGCAGGGTGACTACATTTGGCTTTGTATGAAATCTGGCTTGGAGGCCTCTTCCAGATTGTGGGATTCTGTTCCTTTTTAAAAACTCTGTGTGTGTGTGTGTTCTGTTTCGTGTATGTGCATGTGTGTGTGGTGGCTAGCTCTGCACCCCATCTTTTGAGACACTGTCTTTCCTTGAACCTAGACCTCACTGACTGGCTAGACTGGCTGGCCAGCCCGGAGCGTGACTGTACCCAGCTCTTAGGAGGGTGCCGGGGATCTGAACTTTGGTCCTTATGCTGGTATGACAGGCACTTTACTAACAGCCATGTCTCCAGTATGTTACTTTGAAATAAGGTCTCACTCTGTAGCTTAGGCTGACCTGGAACTCACTATGAAGCCAAAACTCATGGCTTCAGCTTCTTACCCCAGCTTCCTGAGTACTGGCATGATAGGTGCGATCTGTCATACCTGGCTTTTCTTTATTTTCCTGTTTTTGAAGGCAGAGTTTTGCTTTCAGATAAAGGATGGCCTTGTCATCCTCCTGCCTCAGCACTGGGATTACAGGCATGTGCCACCATATCGGGCTCTGCAGCTCTTTACATGCTGTTTCAGTGTTCCCTCCCACAGCCCTGAATGTGTATGGGTTTCAGTGTCTGTCACGGTCCTTCACGTGGACAAGCTGTCATATACAACTGTCCTCATATGGTCAGCCTGTCAGACTGTTCTCAATTATTTTTGCCAAGTGCTGGGCTTTGGCTGTAAGTGAGCACAAATCAACTCGAGCCTCCGTTGCTCCATATTCTTGAAGTACCTCTTTGCCAACAGTGAACCCACCTTTTCTTCGGGAGTTTAATTTTTGCAATGTAGCTCAGGCAGTAGTTGATTAGGTCTTGGATCACCGCCTCACCCAGATGACCTTGAATATTCTAGATAAAGAAAATCACTGGTGGTGTTACTGCTAGAACAGGAAGCACTATGGCTGAGGAGCAGGACAGTGACTCACCCTGTTACCTTTCACCTCTCTCTCTTCCACTGAAGATATCAGGCAAAACACAGGCTGCAGCCAAAGGCACTTTCTGCTTCATTACTCAAGGGCTTTGTTCTCATTATCTTTCAAACCCTTCTTGGAAGGGCCAAAGAGCTTGTTGTTGCTGCCCTTATTCAATTAAAAGATCTACAGACACTGATGAAAATATATTTGTTCCACTTTAGCTTTCTCTGATGTCTGAGGGGAATGAACCTCAGCACTAAGTGCTCTGCAGAGCCTCTTACTACGGTGGGGAGGGCCACCCTAGTTTAACTATCGTAATAGAAGTATTAGATTTAAGAAGCCTTAAAAGACAATTATAAAATTTTAGTTGCCAATCTGGAATAAGCAACAGTCACATGGCATGAAATTCAAAACTTACAAAGAAGACCATGTAAAGATTCTCCCTCAGTCCTCAGCACTCCAATGCAGCACCCTCAGGCATTCAATAGCACAAACAATATTTTGTTTCCCCATCCAGCCCTCTTTTGACTTCTTATAAATTTTTTGAGACAGGAGCTCACTAAGTTGCCCAGGGTGGTCTTGACCTTACTTGAACAACACTTACAAGTTGAAGAAGGCCTTGAAATTACAATCCTTTTGCCCCAACCTCCCAAGCATCTGGGTCTTAGCTTACATATAACATGTTAATAAAAATACAGAATAGGTTGTATACTTAAGAACTTACCTGTTTAGATAAGAGTTTCCCATCTTTGTATGCTACCAAACCATTTTCTGGAAACACATAATCATATTTCTCAACCACTATAACCAAAACAGAACAAAACTGATGATGAATGGAAACCTGCCTGTCTCTCTTTCTTAACCCCTGCAGTCAATAAACCTGCCAAGCACCAGGAAGGGCTATGCCAGACCTTTTCATCTTAACAGACCGAAGATTACAACAGCAACTTTGGAAAATGTCAACTACAAATTTAAGGGCTAACCACTGGGCTAGAGATGGAGCCATGCTGCATTTCTTCCTACCCTTGCCTCCAGCCTGCTGGTCTGTAAAGGCAGATGGTGGCCTTCTACCCCCACAAACCCTGCCAGGAACTAGCACCATCAGGATCAGTGAAGGGTGGACTAAGTTCTGCTCTCAGGCTTTCCAAATCAGAATTGCAGGAGACAGGACAAAAATCAATATGGTTTTTTTTTTTTTTTTTTTTTTTTTTTTTTTTTTTTTTGTTTTTGGTCTTTTTTGAAACAGGGTCTCCCTGTAGCCCCAGCTGGCCTGGAACTCACTATGTAGACCAGGCTGGCCTTGAACTCAGAGATCCACCTGCCTCTGCCTCCCGAGTTCACCACCATGCCTGACATTATTTAGGTGATTCTTATATCATTCAGACTTAGAGAGCAACCCATAACCTAATGAAAGGATTCTCAAACTTTAGGTCCTTGCTAGAATGCAGGTTTCAAGGTCCTATGCCCCAGGACTAAGTCACTGTATTGGTTGGGGTGCCCACACGTGTAATTTCACAAAGGTGAACTCTTTGTTTTTGAGATAGGCCTCAAGTAGTCCAGGCTAGCCTCAAACTCGCAGTAAGTCTCCTAAATGCTGAAATTACAGGCTGTCCACCAGGACTGGCTAACGAGTGATAGGGGGCGCTATCAGCTGGCTTCTGCATGTGCATGTTTTGACTCTGTTGTTACATCTTCTCTGAAACACATAGTCCTATACCATACTGACAGAAAACCTCTCTGAACATGTACACCACCGGATGCAGGAATGACAATCACCCCCCATGACAAGTTCTCCTGGGCTTAAATTAATATATCTCATTATGTTGTTGACAACATTTCTAAACAGAGCATCTACAGGGAAAACAGAGTGGAACAGGGAGTTCTACAGGGATAGCAGAGACAATGCTTCCAGTAGTGATGATCTGATCTGGTCTATGATTTGTGTTTTCAGATACAACATCCTGCAGTTCCCAACTGCAGGTACTTTATCCCCAGGTCACATCTGGCAGTCTGGCCACATGGGTTGTCAAAACTCTGTGTAGGTATGGATGTGCAGGCACTCTACTGGCATCTAGTTGGTGGTGGCCAAGGACATTATTAAACGTGCTACAATGAACAGGATAGCCTCCATAACAGAAAATTATCCAGGCCAATATGTCCCCAGTACCAAGGTTGCTCAGGAAGAGCTGGTTCTAAGATGTCAGGAATCTGGGACAAGGGACAATAGTGTGCTTTTTGTCTGTTTTAAACTCATGTTGGCTTTTTAATTTAGTTATTTATTTTTTCGAGACAGGGTCTCTCTGTAGTCCCACCTGGCCTGGAACTTGCTATATAGATTAGGCTGACCTCGATCTCACAGAGATCTACTTACCTCTGCTTCCTGAGTGCTAGGATTAAAGGCATTTACCACCATACCTAGCTGGCTTTTTTGCTTTTTAAAATCAGGGTTTCACTCTGTAGCCAGACTGACCTCAAACTGGTGAATCTCCTGTCTCAGCCTCCCAAGTGCCTGGATCACAGCTACACTACACCACATTCCTACACTACAACAGAGTAGAAAATAACTATCTGTTTGTATATCTCTGTTCACTGTCTCTCATAGGCCAGACACTCCAGAAGTCCTGGGGCCAAAGAGATGAATAATGTATAACCTTGGTCTTCAAGGCAAACAAGGACTCAGACAGTTCCCAAAATTGAGAGTGCTCCATTAGCAGAATTGGACACTAGACTTTTTGTGGGGTATTTGCTAAAATATGATGCCCAGGTCTTACAAACTGGCTGTTTTGATATTTCCAGGAAAGGAGACAAAAAGACTCTTCAGCCAGGTGTGGTGGCTCATGCCTGTCATCCCAACTCTTGGAGGTGGAGGCAGGAGAAAGAACTGAGGTTCTTTCAGAAGAACTGGGCTGAGATTGAGCCCAGGTTGGGCTATAGTGAGACCCTGCCACAAATTCTCTCCAGCTTCCTAGTTCTGTGCTGGAGACCCTGGTAGTGTGGGGAGCCTGGTGACTCTCATGACTGGGGAACCCTAGGACACTGGGTTAGGGCAATGTGGTAAGGCACGTAGACCCAGAGGGTATCTCCATATCGGAGTGGAGGCTAAGTGGGCAGTGAGGGACACAAAAGCACTAGAGGCAGAAAGCACTCCATGAGCAAAGACACAGACACATCCTTCAAACGGAGTCTATCCACACACACGAGTTAGGCTCTGTCAGAGATGACAGAACTTACTTTTATAGGATTAAAGCAAAAGCAAGATACAGGTAGAGAAAATGCTTTCCCAAAGAAAGGCAGAAAGCACAGCACATGGTGATGGTGGTGTGGGACTGCAGGACACTCGGCTGCAGGTCTCAGGACCCTCAGGAGATGCTCATCTTGAACCCGAGTGTAGCTGGCACTCACCGTCACTTCCCAGCTGTTCTTGTACTTTCTCAAAGTCTGACCCTCCTACCACTCCAATTTTTGTCTTCTGCCTCAATTTTTGTAGAAAGTCTTCCATTTCTTTTGTAATTTTCTATGTGTCAGGAAGGAAAACAGAACAATTCTGAATCACACAATCAGCAGGCGCAAAGGGCAGAAATAATTCATCTCTTATCTTACACCAGGGTTGCTACGAGGCCTGTAGAAAGTTCAAATTTTACTTGTAATTTTGGACTATTGACTTTTTATTGGAAATAATTTGTTAAATTTTACTATTTTTTAAACCAAAATTGAGACACATAAGCCATTTATTAGCAGGTGTTGTGTGCTGCTCCAGCTATCTTTCTTCTGTGTTGTCTGAGACCGAGTCTTGCTATTTGGCCTAGGCCGGTCTTGAACTCCTAGGTGTAAAGAATGCCCCCATTCAGTCTCCCAAGTAGCTAGAACTATGGGTGTGGATTACCATGCTCAATTTGTTCCAGTTATTGTTCCGAGGATCTGTGTACCAATATTTGCACATGTAGATATCTGATTCCGGAAATATCAGTCGGTCATGTTATGTCCTGAGCAGTGGCTTGCTTTTTCTACTTTATGTTATGATGACTTTTAAACAATATTTTATTATTTTTATTTTACATGTATGAGTGTTAGCCTGCATGTATGTAAGTGTACCCATGTCGTGCAATGCCTGGGGAAGTCAGAAGAGGGTGTCCTTTGGAACTGGAGTTACGGACAGTTATTAGCTGCCATGTGGGTGCTGGGTTTTGAACCTGGGTCCTCTATAAGAGCAGTCTTGGCTACACAGTGAGTTTGAGGCCACCCTAGGCTACATGATGTATAATGAGTTTGAGGTCACCCTAGGCTATATCATGTAGCCAAAACTGGCTTCTCCTGCCTCCACTTCCCAAGTGCTGGCATTATAGCCTTGGGACACCATACCTGACTTATGCAATGTCATTAATTATGAACATGTACTATTGAAGGGGTTTTACATGCCTATAATCCCAGCTCTCAGGAGGAAGAAGCAGGAAGATCAAGAGTTCAAGGATGGCAACATAGTGAATTTGAGGCCAGCCTGGGCTATATGAGACCCTGTACCAAAAGAAAAACAAAAATAATAAAGATACTCTTTGTCTTTCAGGCAGCAGCAAATACTTTTTGACAGGAAAGTGGCTCTAGGTTCTGTAACCACAGTGGAGCAGCTATCCTGTACTCCATGTACAGATCTTCAGGGCAAAGTGATCACGCAGTACAACTGGTCTGATGTCCTCAAATAACCCTTGTGCTGAGGGTTACAAATCACCTCTGACAAAATGAAATAGGCTAAGTCCTAAAAGATTGAAATTGAGGTAAAGGAGAAGCTAACTATTCACCTTCAGGGAAACAAAGTTATAGAAAGCTTTTGAGGGATGGGGACAACTAAAGAAACTGTACTATGGATTTGAGGAGGCGTCAGCAAACAAAGGTCTATATGCCATCATCAGACCCATGACCATAAGTATTACTGGAGCATAGCCTTGTCTGTCTATGTAGGTGGTCTCTGTGGCAGTTTCTGTGCCACAGAGTTAAGTAGTTGTGACAGAAACTATGTGGCCTGCAAGTCTCAAAATATTGACTATCTGGGGCTAAGGCTATAGCTCAGTGGAAGAGCACTTACCTAGCTTGTATGAGGCATCTCCATAATAAGTAAATGAACAAATAAATACGTGTGTTTGTGTGTGTGTGTGTGTGTGTGTGTGTGTATGTGTATGACTATCTGGCCCTTTACATAGAAGCATGCTGACCCCAGGCTACAGTAGTGAAGTGATGACACTATGGGTATGAAGGAAAATGTTCTGCCCTTAAGCATGTAGGCTGAAGTGCAAGGAGCCAAGTAGATGACAACTGTGGTTCAGGAAGTTGGTCGGCAAAGGGAAATAAAAACATAAATTTACAATGATGAAATGTCAGGTGTTTTTAACCCGAGTCACAGGGAGACAGGTTCTCTGTTCATTATGTTTGTCAATGATCTCTGTCTTCGAAATTTTTCAGGGTGCCAAAGTTGGAAGGTAGCTATGCTCACTACTACACCACCAATGCATACAAGATGCTAAAGCTGGAAAACGAATCACATAGGTCTGCGTCCTCTTTTTGAAAACATTTATCCCAAGTTTTACTATTTTGGATGGAATGGCATTTGAAGAAAGCACTCGGCATGACAAACTTCTACTCAAACAGGAAATGTGAAAACCTCTGGAGTCCATGCTGCCCAGCCAGAACCTGGGCACTGCAATAAAGATAACTTGTTCTTCCCCTTTTGGACTGCACTGTGATCATCATGTCTGCAAGTGCATGTACAATGGGGTGAGAAAGGCGCCATGATAAATAGGTCTGCTGCTAAAATACCTTAATCATGGTACCCAGCACATAGAAAAGTTCTCTCTTAAATTGCTGAGTTTTGTTTTTCTTTTAATTTTTTAATGAGTTTTTTGCATGTCTATAAGTGTACCACGAATATGAAATGCTCATTGAGGCCAGAACAGGGTGTCAGATTCCCTGGAACTGGAATTATGGACAATTTTTGGCCACTATGTGGCTGCTTGGAACCAAACCTGGGTCCTCTGCAAGAGCAGCAGGTACTCTTAACCATCTCTCCAGTGCATTTTGTTTTTTAGTTTTTTGAGACAGGGTCTCACTATGTAGCCCTGGCTGGCCTGGAACTCACTATGTAGATCAGGCTGCCCTGCAACTCACAGAAATCCTCCTGCCTCTGCTTCTGGAGGGCAGGGATTAAAGGCATATGCCACCATAGATTTTCTTTTTTCTGTTAGTGTTATGATTCTTTATGAGGACTGTAAAGCATGTTATTTCAAATGTCTAAAAGGGAATACATTTGGGGTCACTCAGTTTCTGTGCTATATTATTTCAGACCTATATGTCCTCATTCTACCTGGGAATCAGAACCCCTTTCCTATGAGTGCATGTAGCACCTGGAGGGCTTTCCATCTTAGCACAGTGAAAGGAAACAACTGGATAAATAACAGTGCCGTGAGGCCCAAGGACTTCAACCGCATCTGCTGTGGGAAGCTGAGGAGGTCAGGGCTTCATTGGGTCTCGTTTGGGTTCCTTATGTTTAAAATGATAGTAATAACTACCCTGTCCATGATTAAAGATGGAGGAAGACTGCAAATCCAACACTGTGTAAAGAGGACTAGAAATGTAGACTCTAGACTGCTATGGCGCCTGTGCCAAATTGAGCAGCTGTTTGTTTCTGCAATAAAGTTTTATTTATTTTTTATTTTAGTGTGCATGTGCACGTATGAGCATGTTCCACAGTATGTGTGTAAGGCCAGGGGACAACTTGTGGGAGTTAGTTCTGTTCTTCCACCATGTGAGTTCTGGGGATTGAGAGCAGGTTGCTAGGCCTGGGGGTAAGTCTCTTTACCCAGTAAGCCATCTCACCAGTCGCTGTAAGAAAGTTTTATTAAAACACGGCCACTCTGTTTACATATGGTCTACAGCTGCTTTTGTACTAAAGTTCAGGTGTTACTACAGACCATGCATGCATTCTGTAAAGACAAACGGACTTGACATTCAAACACTATGAATTCTGACCCCAGCTCTAGCTACTATTGGCTTTTTGTTGTTATTTTTAGACAAGATCTTACTAAATTACCCAGGCCTGCCTCAACCTCACTACACAGCCCAGGCTGGCCTTGATCTCTCAGTGATCTTTCTGTGCCACTCTTTGGAGTGCAGGGGTTAAAGGCCTATGCCACCATGCCTAGCTTACTATTTACTCTTTTTTTTTTTGCCTTTTGAGACAGGGTCTTCCTGTAGCCCCAGGTGGCCTGGAACTTGCTATGTAGACCAGGCTAGCCTCAAACTCACAGAGATTCGCCTGCCTCTGCCTCCTAAGTGCTGGGACTAAAGGCATGTGCAACCATGCCCAGCTATTATTGACCTTTAACAACTCACAAGTGTGTTGAGCACTGGAGCTGAGTCTGTGGCTCAGAAAGGTAGAATGAGGGGGAGGAGGGGTGGTGAGTTAACCAAAATGATGATGTATGAAAAAGCCTAATGGAAACCCACTATGTTGTAAGCTAATTAAAAATGTATACACACACACACACACACACACACACACACACACACCCTGTGGACAATGTTCCTCCCAGAAGACATGGGTTATTAAACTAAAATCTCAGTGCCAGGTGTGGGATTACCACTCTGCGAGTTGAGTTGTTGGCCAGGGAGGCCCCAGTGACCCCAAAACAACAACAGGCTACTGCCATTGCTTTTGATTGCCCACCATAACTAGACAGTTGAAGATATAACAGGCTTTGGTTTCAAGACACAGAGAAATCAAGCTGGAACTGATCTGGAAGCTTCCTCCCTTGCTGGCTACTTTCATAGTGTTGAAAAGTGCTATGCAAGCTGCTAGAGGAAAAAAATCACTTATGTTTTCCAGCAGTGGATCCTGCACGCTACAGCACTAATCTGCCAGACACAATATGCCCAATGGTTGGCATGGGTTGTTACAGGGGTAACCAAACCGTGTTCTGATTGGATTTGAAGCCTGTTCCACAGATGGGAAGTCATGACTACTATAGTAAACCTGGTCAAAAGTCCATGACTCAGGAAATCATAGGCCTTAGCTGTTATGCTAAGTGGACATGCTGCCAAACTACCTTCTAAATTTTGTTTATACCCATAGATTGGTGCCACTCTCAACCTTGGTCAGAGAATCTTTTTTGGTCTTTTTGAGACAGGGGTCTCTCTGTAGCCCCAGCTGGCCTGGAACTCTCACTGTGTACACTAGGCTGGCCTTGAACTCACAGAGATCCACCTGCCTCTGCCTCTTGAGTGCTGGGATTAAAGGCATGCGCCACCATGCCTGGCAAGAAGCTTCTTTTTGTAGTGGACAGCAGTTAATGCAGAGATTCATAACTGATCAGAGTGCTGAGAACAAGTGACTGATGGGTGCTCAGCCCTAAGGGACAGCTACATGAACCTCACCAATACTTGGGAGCAGAAAGAACAAAACCAGAGTAGAGAAATGCTGTCTTCTGGACATGACATGGCTGTTGCCCTCATGAACTCGCAGCAGCCATAGTTATCTGCACAAGATCAAGCCAGTCAACACTCCAGCATGGATGGTAGCTGCTGGTAGGTTGTCCGCAACCTGGTGGATGGCCTCACACACATGTGCATGTGGGCAGCACTAACAGGAGTTATTATTAAAAAGAAAAAAAAAGAGAAGGCTGTGAAGTAGAAGGGAGAATGTGTGACAAAGGTCCTCTAAGGAGAGCAGAAGGGAAGCTGGTGGTGGACAGGATCATGGACATGATCAAGATACACTGTATACATATATGAAATTGTCAAAGAATAAAAATACTCTTTAAAAAGGGTAGAATGATATATCTAAGGTCACACACACTTGACATGGACTTCTAGAACACACCCCACCAAAACTAAAAAGGTGGAGGTGGTCGACATCCAGGCCATTTGGATCCAGTCTCAAGTCTGAACGATTGGTGTTGTTATCAAGCTGTGTAAGGGAGGCAGGGAGACCATCATCACCAGGTTGATCCCACAGAAACTTATATGTGATCACAATAGCAATATCTGAGGATGGGAAGGAAGTTTCCACTGGCCCCCGGATGCTCTCGGCAGGCTGCCTGGAACCACCCAGGGTCCCTCCATCACCCCATTTCATTGAAGGGGCTGGTGGAAGTGGCTCACGTTTGAGCCTGATCTGTGTATGACTCTGTCATGAACTTCCGTGACTTCATTAGATCCTCACCAACACCCTACGGCACAGGTAACGTCTCCATTTAAAGTCGTGGCTGCGGAGGCTCCGAGCGGTTACCTGGCTTGCTTAAGGTCAGACAGCTGGAAACCTGTCTTTCATATGCTGGGCCGCAGAGATCTCAGGTGACAAGGCTGGGGAGGTCACACAGAAAGTCAAGGGGCCTGTCCAACCCGGATCAGCAGTCTGTAGGACCCGCGGGGAAGTTCAAACTTGCACTTTCTGACCCTGAACCTAAGGTTCCTGTTCGGAAAAGAATTTTGGCCCCCGGTCCTGTGCGCCCAGCTTGGGACCCGGACTCCAGTCCCCGGCAGGTCGTTACCGGAGCAGCACCCGCTCCTTAGGCCCCGCGAGCCTCCTGGCCGCCGCCTACCTGTCGTGGGGCAGTCAGGGTCCCATCTACGTCGAAGAGGCAGAGCGCAGCCATGTTTGCAGACTTCCAGTCAGAAGATTAGTTGGCACCAGGAACTCCACCCGGAATTTCCGGGTCCGTCCCCCCGCGCCGTAGGGCACGTCGGGAAGAGGAAAATTCCCTAAACGCTCCTGCAACACTTTCTACTCGCGGCAGACAGATTCTGTACTACAACTCCCAAGATGCAACGCACACGTGCGGTTTCAATTCGCGCATGCGCCTTTTTCCTTTTTCCTTTTTCAAATTATCCGACAGCACATCCGCTCTTGGAATTTCAGTGGTCAGGGTCGGTTTACTTCCGGCAGCAGGCGACTGGCTCATGGTAGGAAGGCCGGTGGTGGGCTGTGAAGGAGAGGGCGCGCTTTGGGGACCCGGGTCAGGCCTGGGGATGGCAGGAAGGACGCCTGGGCCTCTCACCCCGGGAGTCCGCGGGAGGAAGGAGGGCGTGGGTTTTGATCTGCTATTTCCTGGCCTCCTGTATGCCTCTCGAGTCACGTGCCTTCACAGCCGGGGTAGCCACCTCTAGCTGAGCACGCACGGTGGTTTGAGCACCAAGTTGAGCGCTTAAGAGCTATCGTCTCACTCAGCGTATTTTGGGTATGTCTTTGGAAAGGCGAAAGACTGAGGCCCAGAGAGTAGGAACACTTTGTTCCAGGATCTAGTTAGTGGCTGTTGGAGCCAGGATTGGACCCCTCTTCTGAGTTCAAAGCCCAGAGCTCTGCTTGGTATGCTGCTCACTCTAGAGAACCCTTCCTTGTGATGTGTGTGTTGCGGCCTCTCTGCCTCACTTCTCTGCTGTCCCCCTTTCCCAACCAGGCTAATAGAAAACAGCAGTTCCCTTAAACGTACAAAGCAGTCAGAGAACTGCAAAGGTATTGTGATAAATATTCCGTTGGTTTGATGCATGCATGAGTTCTGTACTCTAGCACTGTTTACTCCTTGGGGAAGTGTTCACACAGCATTGTGGACCCAAGTTCCAGTCCAGAGTTGGCCCTCCCTAGGTCTTTGTTGAATGAATGAAACTGCACCTTCTTTTGGTGCAGTTTATTTACTTATTTACTTGGACATGTCTGGGGAAAGAGGACCAGTTGGAGAGCCAGTCTCTGCCCCATTCATTCTGCTGTGTCTCCTTCGGTAAATTTCTTGCTCTTTTTTTTTGGCTTAGTTTTAGTTTTTAAACATTTTATTTATTTATCATGTGTGTGTGTGTGTGTGTGTGTGTGTGTGTGTGTGTGTTGTATGTGTGTGTCGTGTGTATGTATATGCAAATGTTCATGTATGTGTCTGACTATGCCATGGTGTGCATATGGAGGCTGAAGGGCGTGTATGTGTGTGTTGAGGTTGGAGGACGTCTTGCAGGAATTTGTTCTCTTCCTCTACCATGTCACCTCCAGGTCTCAGGTTGTTAGGCTTGGTCGCAAGCACCTTTAGTTGCTGAGCCATCTAGCTGGCTGGCCTTAGGGTTTTTAGTGGTAAAAATAGAAGTGTGGTACTTGTCCAGAGTAGGATTTCACAAGAAACAAAGCATCTGGGTTTGTGATCTCTTCTGGAAGTCAGGGTGGCTTTGCAGCATGAGTGGGAAACTTTCTCCAGGATGCTTTGCCTTGTTCATTGTATGATTAGTGTGGTTGAATTCCCTGAGAGACATCTCTGGTCTCCTCTCCAGGCTGTCCTTCTTCGAGCTGTGCCAAGATTTCGAGGGTCAGCTACATGGAGAAGGCCTTTTTGTGGACCATGGTGCTGTACTGGGCAGGAGGATTCCAGAAGGTGGGTGGGGAGCCGCTCCCCCACCTCGAAAGAGAAGCCAGTAGGCGTAGAGCCTGAAAAATTCTACATGGTCTACCGTTTCAGTGCCATCAGATCACTTGGGTATGTATCTCGACTGAAGTTGGCACAGACAGCCCTGACTGTGCTGGCCTTGCCTGTGGGCTTCTGCTGGTACTCACAGGGACTTATGACACTCAATTCAATTTACCTCATGGGTGGGATCTCCAGCTTTGCCCTGGCTATGCTGTGTTGGATGAGCCACTACTTCCGGAGGCTGGTAGGCATCCTTTATGTGAATGAATCGGGTACCGTGCTTCGGGTGGCCCACCTGACCTTCTGGGGGTGGCGGCAGGACACATACTGTGATGTGTCTGACGTGAAACCCCTGTCAGAATCCAAGGACCAGGTCCAGGATGTGTTCATGCGCATCCAGCAATACAGTGGCAAGCAGACCTTCTACCTCACCCTGCGTTACGGCCGCATCCTGGATAGAGAACGTTTTTCACAAGTGTTTGGGAATCTGGCCACACTCAAGTGAAAAACAGAACCCAGGCCTCTCATAGTCCCAGGCACACCTCGATCCTGGACGGGAAGGCCAAGAGCGTAGATGACGGGCTGAAGCTTGGATGATTGACTGCTTACCTAGCTGCAAGAAGCCCTGGGGTCAGACCCGAGCACTGCATATAATCAGGCATGGTGTGTGTGCATGTCTGTAATCCCAGCACTTGGTAGGTGGATTAGAAACTCAAAGTTGCCTTTGGCCAGCCTGGGCTACATGAAAAAACAAAGAAAAAGAAGCTACTACCAAATTTAGGAAAGAACCCTTAATGAAACATCTTACTGCATAGGACATTCAATCAGGTTGGTAGCTGGAAGTTTCCTTGAAGAGGCAGTTCTTGGAGGACCATTATGCCAGGTTCAGTGAGGCAACCAACCCATGGCTACTAAAACAAAGACAGAAGGTTTGGCAGGAGAACACAGGGTGTGTAGTCTGGAGACTTGGGTTCTGCTGAGCCTCGGCTTCCTGCTCTGGGCAAGGTATTGAGTCTCTGAACCTTGATTTCCACAGTGTGGGATGGGAAATCCTGCTGTCTGATAGGATCAATGTGGAAACAACAGTAAGGCTGAGGCTGTATCTCTGTGGTAGGGCTCTTGCCTAGTGTGTGTGAGACCCTGGGGTCCATCTTTACACAAAAGAAGCAAAACCAATAAATGCCAAAGTGCTGTGCAAAGTGAGCAGCCCAGAGGAAGTGGTGAGCCTTTGATCAGGGCTGTGGCGTAGCGGAAGACTTCCAGACTGTGTGGCAGGGACTTTGTTGCTCTGCACCACGTCTCCTCGCACTCATCAGCTGGATGGCCCAGGCCGAAGCCCACAGTGGGCTTGTTTGAGCTCATCAAGATGTCACCACATAGCAGCTGAGGTAGGGACAGTCATGTGAGTACTGAACCCAGCTGATAATGTGACTACCCAGGGCTTTACAGTGTCATCAGACCAGAGGGACTCTGCTCATCGATTTGTCAGCTAAAGGCCACCATGTATAATGAATAACACAGGCTTATTACATAAATTCATACCTGCATAAAAGGAAGGCAGGCATGATCTTTATAATTTGCCCACTCAAAATTCAATTAAATGCTTTCGTTTTGTAGCCGTCTCGTAATTTTATTTTCTTAAAAAATTTTTTTTAAATTACGTGTGTGTGTGTGTGTGTGTGTGTGTGTGTGTGTGTGTGTGTATGCCATGTGTGTATGGCAGAGTTGGTTCTTGCCTTCCACCATGTGGGTCTGAGGATCAGATTCAGATTGTCAGGCTTGGCAGCAAGCAACTTTACCCTGTGGGCCATCTTGTTCTCTAGTCATTTTTTATTGCCATATAATATGCAGAACATGTTTATCCTTAGAACCATTTGTAAGTCTGTAATTCAAGGACATCAAGCACATCTGCAGCATTTTACAGCCACCAGTGCTGTTTAGTTCTGAAATTTCTTCTTGATCCCAAACAAGAATCTCTGTACCCAGTCAACAATTGTCATCTGTCACTCCCTTGCTCCCCATCCCTTTCTAGGCAGCCACTAATCTTTCTGTCTCCCTAGGTTTGCTGATTCTGACATCTCATGTAAATGAAGTCATGGTCCATGGCCACCTGTGCTCAGAAGCTTCTCCTTGGTGTAATGTTTTCAAGGTGTTGCAAGTATCAGAGTTTAATACTTAACTCAAGGATAACAATGTTTGTAGGCTTGCTCTCTAGGAACACACACACACACACACATGCACACATGCACGGATGTGCACACACTTTATCCACTCAGAAGTTTGATGGACAGTTGGATCATCTCCATCTTTGGGCTTTTATGAATAATGCTGATGTGAACATTGTTATACAAGTGCCTGATAGAGCCTCTGCTTTAAAATGTACACTCCCACTGGTTCCACCTGTTTTTATGGAATCTTTTTGATTTAGTTGTTTGAGACAGGGTCTCACTTTGTAACCCCAGTTTCAAACTTGTGACAACCCTCTTTTATCAGCCTCTTAAGTGCTGGTACTTAGATGGCTCAGCCTCTCCAGTTTTGCTGCATGCAACATACATCTCTCTCTCGGAGTGGCTGCGTGCAACATACATCTCTCTCTTGGAGTGGTAGCGCTCCCAGTATGCTGCTCTTCTTAGTAGATGTCTCACAACTCTGGCATCATGAACATCTTGGGATCTCCACTGTCAACCAGGCTTCACATTCACAGCTTCATGAAATGGCTCATCAGGGCCTCTTGGCATGTCAGGGCCTTCTTTATGCCCCTGCTGCACGCTACCTGGCTCTCTGAAACTATGGAGGAAGAACTGATGACACTTCACCCTTGCATCTTTCATGCCTCTAAAGTCAGCACCAGGTGAACATTATTGCCAAGTTTGGCTGCAAATTTGGATGGACTGCCTGCTTCATCCACTTCTGAAGCTTTTCTTTGCAGTGGTTTTCTAGTAGAAAATCCCTGCAGCATTTTCCTTACAAGTTGGAAGCTTATATGGGTGTGGGCTTGCATTGGAGGCACTCTCTCCATTGTTTGTTTAAGTGCAAATCTCTCAGCCTCTGCTTAATCACTTTAATCTCCTTATCAAAGGGATCCTTTCCTTCAGCACATGCCCCTTGATGCCAGCATCTTTCTTCCTAGTGCTCTTTTTCAATCCAAACTGTACATTCTGCATTTCTCTCTGCCTCATTTTCTCTTTCACTGTAGCTCTGCATAATATTCACCATTAGTAGTCACACCACCATTTCCATGTTAGATTGCCTTGAAATATCCTCCACCAAAGAAATTAGTCCATTGCTTTTCAACTTAGCCTCAGGCAAGCTTTTTTGGCTGTGGGCAGACTCCACTCAGACTGTTTGCAAAACTATCCCAATTGCTGCTTAAGTCCTTATTTCCCTTGAACTACCTTATTCTCAGCCTTACTTTCTTCTAGACACCTAGTAGAATTGGCCTGTTAAGCTCTGTTTACAGCAATCAACTGCCTTTCTAGCCCAAACTTCCAAAGTCTTCCACATTCCTCCAAAACCCCACATGGTCAGGTTCTTCACAGCCAACAGCCCACTCTCTGGTACCAATTTCTGTATTAGTTACTTTTCTGTTGCTGTGATAGAAACACCAAAGAAATTTATAGAAGGAAGAGTTTATTTGAGCTTATAGTTCCAGGGTAATTAGAGTCCATCATGGCAGAGAGGTATTGGTGGTGGAGGTGGCTGGAGTAAGGGCCGAAGCCAAGCATTCACAAGTAGGCACAGGAAGCAGAGAATGACTGGAAATCTGGCAAGGTTTAAGAGCTCTAAGCCTGCCCCCAGTGACGTGCTTCCTCCAGCAAGGGCACACCTAAGACCTCCCAAAACTGCACCACCAACTGGGGACAAAAATGTTCAAATACTTGGAGTCTATGGGGGATATTCTCATTCAAACCACCACAAAGTCTTTCACACATGGGCCTTTGGGGACACTTTGACTCCGTAGCAGACAGTAATTAATTCTCTTATCATCTTGAGAATCTAACTTTCCCATAGTGAGACTATATCATTTTACATTATATTTTTTTCAACCACTTTTTGTTTTGTTTTGAGATAGTGTCTCACTGTGTAGTCCTGGTTGGCCTTGAGCTCACAGAGGTCTGCCTGCCTCTGCCTCATAAGTGCTGGGATTGAAGGCACACGCCACCACGCCAGGCTTATTTTGCATTCTTTTTTATTTTTTTTTCAAATTTTCTGGTTTTGAAGTGCACATTTGCATGGACACACACATAGTTTAAAAAAAGATCTTTGCTTTTGTAGAAGTTGTAGATAGTGTTTGGTGTTGATGGGTGGCAGGACTGTTAAATATATTGAAGTGGGGATGTAGCTTAGTTGGCAGAGTGCTTGCCTAGCATGCACAAAACCTTGAGTTCAAGTCCTCGCAATGTGTAAGTGGGGCTTGGTGGTACATGACTAATCTTAGCACGAAGGAAGTGGAGGCAGGAGGATCAGGAGTTCAGGGTCATCTTGGATTACATAGTGATTTTGAGGCACGCCAATGCTACATGAAACCTTGTCTCCCAAACAGACTCTGTCTCAAAAAGACAAAAAATGGGGGGGCTTAAGATGGTAAATAGGGGATTCGCCATAAAAGTTCACTTGAAGGACACAGTTTGCCTTACTGCATGCGAGCCCAAAGCTGGTTCAGGCAGGATTGGCTCTTGCGTTCTTTACGCAGGATACATTGGGAATATACTTGAATAAAAACTGTCTAAATTTGATTGTTACTAGGGGCAAGGAAATCTATACTGTTGTTGAGAGATGGGAGTACTAGCCCGATTCAGGTGGGGGCTTGAAGGGGTTCTGAGGTTGCTATCACTAGCTATTATTTAGAGAGGGGTGTCTATGTATATTATGTGCAGGTAAAGGAACTAAGTTGCCAAGGGCATTATTATAAGGAAGATGTCATGGTTGGCTTCATTTGTCAACTTGACACAGCTGGGGAGAGGGAACCTCGGGGAATTGTCTCTCTCAGATTGGCTTATGAGGCATGTCTCTGAGGCATTTTCTTGACTGTTGAGTGGTGTGGGATGGCTCAGCCCACTGTAGGTGGTGCCACCCCTGGGCAGGTGGTCCTGGGTTGTATAAGAAAGCAGGTTGAGCGCCAACCAGAGGAGCAAGCCAGTAAGCAACATCCTTCTGTGGCCTGTGCTTCAGCTCCTGACTCCAGGTTCCTGTCCTGAGTTTTTGCCTGACTTCCCTCAAAGATGGACTATCACTTGGAAGTGTAAGGTGCAATATACCCTTTCCTCCTCATGTTGGCTTTGGTCATGGTGTTTATCACAGCAACAGAAAACGTAACTAGAACAGAGGGTGCGTGTTACCCAAACTAAGTAGGGTCCTAGGGCTCAGCTATTCCTGATGCTTGCCTGCTCACTGTTGCTGATTCAGGGGCAGCCATTTGGCTGTGCTATCACATGGTAGTGGGGAGGGGTTATTTTTATTTACTTTTAAGTAAAGTTTGAGTTTATTTTTAAAAGCTTTAATATAGACTCAAGTATGGATGTAAAAAGGGGGAGAAGGGCAGTGTGGGGCATGTATCTGTAACCCAAGCACTAGTGAGGCCTTAGCAGGGGGACTGATGCAAGTTCAAGGCCAGTCTGGTCTGCATAGCAGTTCTAGGTCAGCCAGGGCTACACAGCAAGATTATCTTAAAAGAAAAAGAGAGACACATACTTAAAAGGCAATTGGGCATACCCTTGAGTGGGCTCAGGCTTCCCAAGAGAGACAATCACATTTTAGTGTCTTAACAATAACTGTACACGGGGCTGGAGAGATGGCTAAGTGGTTAAGAATACTGGTGGTTCTTGCAAAAGATCCGGGTTCGAATTCCAGCACTCACATGGCAGTTAACAACTGTCTGTAACTCCAGTTCCAGGGAATCCGACAGCCTCTTCTGTCTTCCTTGGACATTGCATGACACAGGTGTACCTACCTGCACACAGGTAATACACGCATACACATAAAATAAAAATAATAAATAAAATACTGAAATAAAATAACTGCACATGATGATTTTGGTGGCGTCTGAAGTTACATTGTTTAAAAAACTTAAAAGATTAAGAGCTGGTGCTTCTCCCCCAAGCCTGATGACCTGAGTTTGACCTTGGGACCCAAGTGGTGGAAGGAGAGAACTGACTCCCAGAAGTTGTCCTCTGACCTCTGTACATTCACTGTGGTGCGTTTGCACACAAAACAATAAATGAAAATGTAATTAAAAAGATTAAATAAGCTGGGTGTGGTGGCACATGCCTTTAATCACAGCACTTGGGAGATAGAGGCAAGCAGATCTCTGAGTTTGAGCCCAGCCTGGTCTACATAGCGAGTTCCAAGTTCTGGGCCAGCTGGGGTTACAGGGAGACCCTGTCTCAAAATACCAAAAAAAAAAAAGAAAAAAAGATTAAATAAAAATTTTTTTTTTTAAATATTTATTTTTATTTTATGTGTGTGAGTGTTATACCTGCATGTGTGTAAGTATACCCGTGTCATGCAGTGCCTGCAGAGGTCAGAAAGCGTCAGATTCCCCTGGAACTGGAGTTATGGATGGTTGTTAGCTGGCATCTTGGTGCTGGGAATCAAACCCAGGTCCTCTGCAAGAACA